TTCGCTCTTGTCCCTCAGGCTGGAGTGCAGTGGCACAATCTCAGCTCACTGCAACCTCCACCTCCCAGGTTCAAGTGATTCTCCTGCCTCAGCCTCCGGAGGAGCTGGGATTACAGGCACGTGCCACCACGCCCGGCTGATTTTTGTATTTTTAGGAGAGACAGGGTTTCACCATGTTGGCCAGGCTGGTCTCAAACTCCTGACCTCAAGTGATCCACCCACCTGGGCCTCCCAAAGTGCTGGGATTACAGGTGTGAGCCACTGTGCCCAGATGAAATGGAGCAACTCCAGTCCCTCCAGCTGCTCTCTCCTCAGGACGGGTCTCATTTTAGTTCTTCCGGACTCCATCAGACCAGCATATGCCCCAATTTGGGGGTCTGCACAGACACCTCAAGCAGAGCTTGCTCCTGCCCCTTCTCCCAGATCTACCCGTGGATCTACCCAGGGCTCAGATAATTCTCAGAAGGCTCATTCCCTCCGAGACTCTGCCTGGGACCCGCTCACAGAAGGCTTTCGCGGTATGTTTGTGTATGTTTGATCACTGCTTCCCCAGGTCCCCCATCCCTGTGCCCACCCCCATCCATCAGCCCTGGAATCGCTCCTCTGGTGGCCACTTGGAGCCCTGGTCAGTGCCTTCACATGAGTGGCTGATGCCCCTTGGGGCCATGGCCCACTGCCAGGCTGAAATCCTGCTCCAAGACTTCAGTCCTGCCACCCTCCCCACCCCCACTGACCTCCAGATTCAACTCCTTTCCTGGAGGGCACCCCCTGTGTCTGCGACTTTGTTCCCCGCAACTCCCCCTCCCTCCCCGCACCCTACTGCCCCCTCAGCTATGGACTGGGCTCTCAGGGTGGCTGCCCAGAGCAGGCTGGGATAACGTCTCTGCTTTCTACTTGAGGACCTACGTACACCTGGAACATTTAACTTCACTACACAGGGCAGCAAGGGCAACAGACCCCGGGCAGCAGGTCTCAGGAAGGGTGGGGAAGGGGCTAGTTCACCTGGCCCCTCACCTGCCCCTGCTGCCCTGCCCAGCAGCTTCCCTACTGCATGTTCTAGAGTGGATTACCGTCCACTCCCTCCCCCTTCCCCTGTATTGAGGGTGAGCCAGGCAGGCCCACATGCCCCTCACCCTAGCTGATGCCTGCCGTGCCCCCAACCTGGGCTCCTTAGGCACCTAAGAGGCCCCCACCCCTTCTTCTGCCCCACTTACCTTGGCCCAATGGGCAATGAGGCTGGGCAGCAGGGATCAGTCCAGGACCCCTTGGAGAGACAGAAGCTGGTAGGGCTGCTATCTGGCGGCCAAGGGTGGTCTCTGGCCTTATCTCCAAATAATGGTCTCATTGGTGTTCCCAACCCACTGAGAGTTTTGATAAATATATACAGCCCAGGTCTCTCTTGAGCCTGGTCTGCCAGCAGGACCTGCAGGGGCTGGTGAGCTGAGGGCAAGGCTGGGAGGTGATGCTCCGAGGTAGAGCTGGGATGGGGCTGGGGACGGGAGACTGGCAGCTGGAACTGGCTTGGAGGCCCGATTTGGGGAGTGGGCTGCCCGAGGCCCACGCTCTGCAGGCTCCAGTTCCTTCAGCTAGCTCATCTCTGAATGCTGTTTGACCACAGACGGGGGATGGAAGGATTTCCCTGGGGAGGGGATTGGAAGGGGCAGTGGGGCTGGGAGGACAGCCTTACTAAGAACTCCCACTGCATAGGGGTTAAGCTTCATGGAGGCCTAGTGTGGCCTCCCTGGCTTTTCATCCATCCGTGGGTGCCATCAGGCAAGTATCTTAACCTCTCTGGGCTTTATTTACCTTATCTGTTAAACGGAGGTAACAGTCCCTGCCTCATAGGGCAGTGTAAAGAGTCAATGAGATAAACATGTGAGGGGCTAAGCAGCACCTGATGCCCAGTAAACAATCAGTCATGATCAGTGTGGCTGTTAGCAAATTGTAGAAAGCATTCCCCTCGGTTTGAAGCAAGTGTGGGCAGCTGAGTTTGAAGTCAGTTGGCAGTTTGGATGAGGTGGTTCTGAGATACCCCTGGGCTTGAGGCCAGCGGCACACTCCCTGGCTGGTGTGTAGGGAGGCCCACTGTGGTTGACGTCCCATCTTCACGTGGGGCACGTCCCAGATCAGTCTGAGACCCTGCGGCCTCCTTGCTGCCCTCTTGCCACAGAGCTCTTCATTGGCTCTGGCCTCCCAGAACCCAAGCCCCAAAGACTTCAGTTCGCTGAGGGGTGAAAAAAGCCTTAGACTTGGAACCAGACCTTCAACCCCAGGGGAGCTACCAGGCCTCAGTTTCCCTGGCTGCAAAACAGGCGGGTTACTACCTCTGTGGGCTAGTGGAGGATTAGAAGACAAATGTTATAAGGACATTTGTGGATGGCAAAGTAATCTACAATACCCACAATGAAAGTATTAGTCTATGGATTCAAAACCCACCTCACCCGCTAACACATGATTTTCCCAGTCTGACTCCCCTCCCAGTGCTGGTCCCAGGAGAGCTGAGCCATCAGTAGCAGGGGGCTAGAGAAGGAGGCCTGGGGGGGAAGCTGAGGACCTCTGGGCAGGGGCTGTGCTGTCACACTAAGGGACGGGGAGGGGGTGGCCTGAACTGGAAAAACAGTGGGGTTTTTCCTCCACTGCTGTTCTGTGCCCATGAGGGAGGCTGTCAAGGAGAAACGGGCTTAGGTGGGGGTAGCATTAGGGGAGCCTTTGGGCATGGTGTGGAGAGAAATTCTTCCAGGCACGAGGTCTTCTGGGTCTCGGAGGGCCTCCAGTGACCCTCCCCCACCACTGCAGCTTGGAGGGCCCCCAGTAGCTCCCCCAACTCTGTAGTCGCACGTGTGTTTTTCGGCTCATCACACCCCACGCACTCCCACAGGGGCCTCGCCACCCCAAGCTGAACCGGAGCAGAATGGCCCAGACGCCTGGTCTCAGGGATGCCTTCTCTGTGCCGAAGCCCAGAGCGCACGTCTGCCATGGGAGACAGAACTCTGGGCCTCTGGGCTGCAGGTTCTGAGGCTCAGATGTTTCCGGCTGTGCCCTGAAGCAGCCCCTCCACCCTCAGATTCTCTGAATGGGAGGGGAGCCCCAGGCTCCATCTGCCTGCCTAGGGATTCCGCCTCCAGCTTCTCCGATGACACCCAGACTTGTCTTGGAGCTGTCCTCTTGGTGGCCTTCCAGAGCCAGAGGCTCTGAGCTTTGTGTTTTTTGGGGTACCGGGGGTCCCCCCTGGGGTGGCTGCTCATCTCCCTCTCACCCAAGGCCTAGCACAGTGCTGAGCACACAGTAGGTGCCCAGAAGGTGCCTGGCAGTGAGAGCTGCCAGGAAGCCCAAGCAGGAAAGCGGGTTGCGGCCAGGCTGCGCTTACGCACACTTCCTGGTCTGTACCATCCCTTCCCTGTCTCCCCCCCACCCCCACCCTCTCGGCTCCTCCACCCCTGGGGTGCGCCCCCCATCCCATCCCCACCAGCATTGTCTCAGGAAAGCCTTGCCTTCTCATGTCTCTGCCTTCACTGGGTGAGAGGCAGATTTGGGAAAGCCGTCTCCGTTGTGGCCATTAGAGACTCAGGTCACTTCTGGTCTCTCCAGGCAGCCAGGACCCTTTACTGGGCTTCTCTCCACTTCCCGCAATATCCCCAAGTTGCTCTGGGAGCCTCCAGCCTGCCTCTGTCATGGTGCTCCCTGGGTCCTCCACCCCATCTCTCTACTTCAGGGCACAGAGCTTGGAGAATTGGCAGAGCAGAGTACCCCACAGGGCCTTCAAGGATATCCTTAGCTACCCCCGAGCCCAGGCCCTTCCCAGTGAAACCTGCCCTCCCTCAGCAGGTGCGGCGGGGCTCCTGGCACTGCGTTGACTTTGTCTGTTCCTGGTGTCCTGACACTGCAAGCTCTTGTGTGCGCCTGGGTGCACAAGTGCACATGTGCATACATACGCCCCACCCATGGGCTCTCCTCCCTGGTTAGAGAGACCTAGAGACAAGGCCCGGGCTTCAGTGGGGCCCTGTGTCGAGTTCTGGTGTTCCACCCACACCCCCTGCCCCTCCAATGCAGCACACACTGGCTTCCACCCACCTGCGCGTTTCTGTGCCTGAGAACTCTCTCTGGCCCTCTGTGGCCTGATGTGGGAATGCAGAAGAGTTCATGTCCCCCTGGGAGCAGCCCTCAACCCACAGCTGATGGGAGATGGTGGATAAATACCCCAGCTCCCTCCCCTGTTGGGTGGGATGAGGGAGGGTTTCCCCAGTGGAAGGGAGCTCCAGGCACCCGCAACAGTGTTGGAGTGTTGGTCCTGCCCCAGAGGCCACCCAGGGCTACAAGCTCCAGCTCAGAATTGGGGGCACTGAAGCCAGCAGGCAGGGGAGCCCAAGAGTGTGCTGCCCACATCAGAGCGGTACTGGCCAGGGCTGGGACATACCTGTCTCTTGCTCACAGGCTACTGTGTCCCTCTCTAGCCTCCCCCCTTTCCCCTGCCTTCCTTGCCTGGCTTCACTCCCTGTTGCCCTCTCTGTACTCCCCTTCCCTCGAGTTTGCACAAGAAACCTCAGGGTCTCAGGGATGGTCTCTTGTGGTGCCCAAGCGGAGATAGCTGCATTTCTGGCCTGTCCGGTGGCCCAGCACCCTAATTCTGCTTCCCATTCCTCAGCTCAGCTCCTGCCCAGGGCTGGGACACACTCTTGTCTCCTTTGTTCCTTCCCCTGACCCATGGTGTCCCTCCTCTGCATCCTTAACCCTGGTCCTCCTCTCCCTCTACTTGACCTCCTCACAACAAGCTGTCCCTAACTAAGGGGGCCCTGGCCAGATCCACCTGTTCCTCGAAGCCCTCCCTTCTGCCCTCACCCCTCTCCTGGCCCTCGGGGGCTCTCCTGGCACTATCCTTGCCGGGGTGAGAGTGGGGTCAGGTTTCCCAGCAACACAGCAGCCCCTGAAAGCTGGGAAATGGCTCCCACTTCTGTGAAACACCCTCTCCATCCAGCCCCCTGTGGAGTCCAGGCCTTCACAAATGCTGGTTGAAAAGATAAATATTATTATTTATACCAATCACCCGCCTCACAGCCGATACCCTCATCTTCTAGTGCCCTCCAAAGCCCTGCTCTGGCTGTCCAGTCCCTCTGGACATGGGCAGGTCAGTGGGGGCTGTAGCTGGTCCACACCTAGAGTGTAAGCAGCATGTTGTCCCAAGAGCCACTTGGGCAGGAACCTTCTCCTGGCTTGTTTAGCTAGTGGTCCTGCCCCAGAGGCCATCCGGGGCTACAAGCTCTGCCCCAGAGGCTGGGGCTGGGATACCCCTGGCTCTTGCTCACAGGCCACTCTGCCCACTCCAGCCCCCTCTTCTCACAAAAGAGGAAAAGGGGCAGGAGGTGACTGGTGTGGGGTGAGGGTACTGCCTGTGGTGAAGTGAGGGGCAGCTGGCCTGGCCTGCAGGGTAGTAAATGTTCAGGATGAAGGCAGCGAGGCAGGGCATTGCTGGTGGCAGTGCCACAGTGTCAATGAGGTTCTGGAGGCCTGGGGGGTGACTCTAGTGCTGTGGCCACACGTCTGATGATGACACCTGACTTCTGTCTCCAGGGTTCCTGAGCGAGGGCCCTTGGTTCCCAGTGGTGTTGGAAGGCATCACCAAGGTCCAGAGGCATCATCGTGGTGAGTCAGAGGCTGTCACAAGTTGCCCATGATGCCCCAGGGCACCAAACGGCCTCCCCACAGTTGCTGAGGGCAGCCCCAGGTCCCAGTGGGCTGGACTTGTGCTCTGGGAGAAGACAGCCTTGGAGGGACGCGCGTGCTGCTGTGGATGTCTAGCAGCCCATTTCCATTCATTTCCACGTCCCTTCTCCAGGGAGGACTGGGCAGGGAAGCCAGAGGCCCCGGGACTGGCCCAGTCCTGTAGATGACTTTCCACTCATGAGCTACAGTCCTGCACAGCTGCAGGGGGAGAGTGGCCCCCCAGGCTGTCAGTGCCAGCTGCTCCTGGGGGAGTGGGCATGAGACCTAACAGGTCGCCTCCACAGGCAGGGTGGTCAGGGAGCCTGGCCATCATCCCCCCAGCCACAGCTCTTTGGGGGCTGCTCCATGACCTGCCAGCTCAGACTGCCGTGGACTGCTTGATGCTGTGAAAGCTGACACGGGTGGGGGAGGTAGGGATGGACATGGCGCGGGCCACTCGGGCACGGATCGAGTGCTTGTCCTGCCACCGGTGCCATCTCTTCCGGATGGCAGAGCGGACCTGCGGGCACAGAGAGGAGCACGACATCTGAGCCTGGGGTTCAGGACCCCCTCCCTCCCCTGGGTCGCCACAAGCAGCTGTGCAGGTAAGAGGCTGTGCAGATCTGCTGAGTACACAGAAGTCCTCAGGAGGGGACAGCACTCACAGCCTTAACATGGCTGCTTTGCATATTTGCCGGAACAGGTTTCTCAAGTGTCCTGGGGAAGGGGCACCCTTTTCTAACCCACACGAAGGCACCATATGGCCTTTGCCATCAAGGCTTCCTGCTCTCAACCCACACATATCCCCTGCCCAGGGCTCAGCCCTTCCTGGTTTTCACAGGCTCATCAAAGATACTGGAGCTCTGGCTTCTAGCCTGGTGCCAGCAGCCTCTGAGAGCAAAGGAGAGGGCTGTCACTGTGGGAGTGGACAGGTGGGAGGGGCCGGCCTGGGGCTCCCAGCGGCATCCCCCTAGGGACCTAGGAGGAACAGGGAGGGAGAGAGCCAGCCCTGGGAGGGGAGGAGAAGGCTCTAGACTATCGCCAGCCCCAACAGGCCTTGCAGCCCTGAGCCCCGCCGCAGGGCCCCCAGGTCCTCACCTCACTGTTAAGGAAACAGTAGAACACAGACACAAAGAAGCCCTGGGGAGGAGAGAGGAGGCGTCAAAGGTCGGTCACAGGTATTGCCCACCCAGCCTCTGGGCTGCCCCTTGCTTCTCCCTGGCCTCCTACCCTCCAGGCATCTGCTTGGGAGAATCCCCACCCAAGGAGGTGCCAGTGTGCCCCTCCAGGGCTGTACCTGGAAGGATTCCAGGAAGGAGTTGAAGTAGATGAAGACGACCCGGGAGACCTCATCCTCCCCGGGATTGACGAAGAACAGCATGTAGGTGATGCCCAGGAGGGGCAGCAGCACCAGAGTGGCTTTCACAGCCTTCCTGGGGTGGGGTGGGTGGGGAGGCTTGGAGTCACAGCCCACCCCAGGACTGGCTGCCCGCTGGCTCAGCAGAGGGCCAGGTCAGGGGAGGGAGTGGCAGGTCTCTGGCACGTGAGAGGCATGGGGAGCAGGGATTTCATCAGGGGGAGGCCTGGGGGAGGTGGTACCCGGTTACCTGTACTGAATGGTCTCAGACGTGGTGGATGCCCGGAGCTTGGTCATGAGGATGCGGACGATATTGAAAAGGAAGATGAAATTGATCTGCAATTTGAGCACACCAGCGGGCTGGAGTGTGCAAGAGGCTGGGGACCCAGGCTTCTCAGCTCTGTTCTCAGTGTTCCTGCTGTTCTCCCTCCTCCTCAGGAGCAGCTGCACATCCTTGGCCCATGCCCCCTCCTTGGGTGGCCCCCACCTCTAGGCAGAGGGGTCCTTTCTGTCCACGGTTGGCATCGATCGCCCCTCCCCACTGGGCCCTGTCTCCTGCCCCTACCCAGGTTCTTACCAGCAGGACCAGGATCATGGGGCCCTGGTAGATGTAGTCGGTGTACACCCCAGGCCTTTTGCCAAACCAGCACCTAGAAGGCCACAGAGGAAAGGGGAGGAGGGGTCATCTGCATCTGCCTCGGTGGCATGGGGAGGGACTGTGCTTGGCCAGGACAGGACTGGGGCTGGAAGCCAGGAGGTAGATGTCCCAATTCCAGCCCTGGCAGAAGGTCAAGTCACTTGATCCCACTGCCAAGCTTCAGTTGTCCCATCTGCAGAATGGACAGCATCCTCTGTGATGAGATGCAAAGTTGGAAGCAAGCATCAGGGCAGGAGGCAGACAGTGGGAAAGACTGAGTGGCCGGGAGCGGGCATGGGCTCAATACATAGGCTGCATCCTTGGCTCCTCCTCACGGTCCCCTGGCTGTGGCTGAGGCCCAGCATGTCCTCTGGGGGACTGCTGGTGGGAGTGGCACCACACCTGTCACCCAGTGGGCACCCAGCAGTTCTCAATCTCAGCCTGAACCTGTCCAGTCGCAGCCCGAACGACCTTGAGAGGAATATTTGCACAGGTTCTACCTGCTGCAGGGGGTAATTGCTTTGCATTTTCCTGAGTGTCCCTCCAGGAAGCTCCAGGGAGGCCTGGGGAGTGGGTGGGGACCAGACAAACTGGAAGCCCTTACGTCTTCGTGGGTAAGAAGACCCCCAGTGGCTAGATCTCATAAGCCAGAAATTGAGATTTGTATATGAAACCTTTGGATTTTTTAAAGGTTGGCTACAAAATCGAGTTTCCAGAAAACACCCTGCCGGCCACACACAGCTTCTAAGGGCTGGGTCCAGTCCTTGAGCCTCTGGTCTGCAAGTTCGTTTCTGCTTTCTCACACCCAGATCCCCTCTGTTGCAGTGTTGAATTCTCACCACCAGGTGGGGCTTCAGAGCCGCTCAGACTCACTTTCTCCTTTAGCCCAAACAGTTTTTGTTTTGCTTTTGAGGCTTGTGGAGTCTCGCTCTGTTGCCCAGGCTAGAGAGCAGTGGCACGATCTTGGCTCACTGCAACCTCTGCCTCCTGGATTCAAGAGAGTCTCTTGCCTCAGCCTTCCCAAGTAGCTGGCACTACAGGTGCGCACCACCACACCCAGCTAATTTTTGTATTTTTTTTTTTAGTAGATATGGGGTTTCACCATGTTGGCCAGCCTGGTCTCAAACTCCTGACCTCAAGTGATCCGCCTGCCTCGGCCTCCCAAGGCCTCAGCTAGCCTGAGTCAGGAGGGAGTCAACCTCATAAACACGCAAGATAATCTTCCAGGCTCCTCTGTCAGCCCAATGAAGCCATGCAGGCCCCCTCCCCTCCGTGGGGGGAGGAGAGGGCTTGTCACTGTGGTGGAGGCCACTTGGACGCCAGGTCAGTCAGTCAGATAGGTTCCTGGGAACACCTGTTTGGCAAAGAAGGTCCTGGGGCTCCCCTGCCATCCATGTCCACCTTTTCTGCCTCCCTCTCTCTCAGTGGTTCTCAATCTTAGCTGCACATTAGAATCACCTGGGCAGTTTTCAAGACTTCTGGGTGCCAAGCCACACCAAAGACTAATTACACCTGACTCTCTGGCGGTGAAGCCTGGGCACTGGTACTTTTCGAAGCATCCCAGGTGATTCTAATGTGAGCCAAGGCTGAGCACCACTGCAGCAGAAATCAAGTTTCCAGGCATGACTGGAAACACCTGAGTCCGTTTCATAAGGAACCAAAGAACTTCAGAGCTGGAAGAAGCCTCTGGGATCATCTAGGTCCACTTCTGTTAAATTCATGGACTTTTCTATTAAGATGTTTTAGTATTACTAGAACACATTTATACAGCATTTGCTCTATGTGCCAGGTCCGATTCTAAATGCTTAATATAGATGGACTGATATGACTCCACAACAGCCCTTTGAGGCAGTAGTATGTCCATTTTACAGATGAGGAAACCGAGGCACGCTGCAGTAATCCGTCCAAGGTCACACAGCTATTTAATGATGGAGCCACGATTCTGAACCTGGGCAGTCTGGCTCCAGGCTGCTTCCTGTGTAAGCTCAAGGCAGATAAAGGAGGCTGGATCCTGCTTGTCCAGTCCCACCCAGGCAGAGCACAGGCAGGGACCCTCTGAATGAGTCCAACCCCCCAGATCCCTCCCTTTACAGATGCAGAAGCCATGGTCCTGAGGGGAAAGCCAGCATGGCCCAAGGCCCTTGGGAGTGTCACCAAGCTAGGCTGGGAGCCTAAACCTTGGGGGCAGGAAGGGAAAGGAAGTGACTTACTTCTCATTGTCGTAGTACAGCTTCCCAATGGCCCAGGCCACAATGATGGGGAAGGGCACACCTGGGGGAGAGATGGGCTGTCACAGAGCCCTCAGCGGGGGCTGGGGGATGTGGGCCTGGAGGACCCCAGTGCAGCCCAGGCTCCAGGGGGTCTAGGGTTACCCAGGGTGGATCTCAAACTCACACATCTCCTTCAAGGTGCTCCTGCTGCCCCCCAGCCCCAAGACGAGCAGAGGGCTATGGCGCACACCCCACTGCCCCAACCCGACCTCCATCCCTCAGGCCCCCCAGCACTCTGGCCTGAGTCTGGGTGAGGAGACGGCAGCACGGCGGCTGCCACTGCCCAGGCCGGGGAGGTGGCTGCCCAGCTCACCCCAGCCGATGCAGATGAACATCCACTTGCGCAGCCGGTCGGTGGAGTAGGTGAGCACGATGGCTGTGTGCAGGTAGCAGCCCTCACCGAACATCCAGAAGAAGTTGGTCACGTGGAAGTAGTTGTAGGCGGCGGTCACCAACCTGCACCAGCCCTGCCACCCCACCCCCAACCAAAGATGATGATGGGGGGCAGGGGCGGCACCAAACCCTGGCCCTGGGCCTCCCCCAGGCAGGACGGGGCACACCCTGGGATCCCACTCCTGTTCTGTGGGCTCCTCCTCTGCAGGGCAGGCCCACCTGGGCCCCTTCTCTGACGTGGGTTTGGCCTGACCTGCTCCCCGCTCCCCCGCCAGGACGCACCACGTTGCTCTGGTGGACCTCAGGGCTCATGGTTAGCTGGACCACAAACCAGGTGGCGTTGCGCAGGATGAAGGCGGAGATGAGGTTCCAGTGGATGATGTTTCGCAGGCACCGGATGCTCCTGGTGCAGCAGGGCAGGTGGATGATGGGAGCGACAGGAGAGAGAGGATAAGGGGCAGACCACCCACATCACCCCAACCCAGATGTGTAGATGAGGAAACTGAGGCACAGCGTAGGGCTGACTGGCCAAGTCACACAGGGAAGTGACAGCAAGGCTCTCCTAATGCCCCATGGAGCCCTTCCTGCCTGCAACCCACCCAGACAAAAGCCCCAGGCTCTGCCTGGCACTCCATGGACCAGGGCAGCTGGCTTCCTGGGGATGCCTGTTTCCCCTGGGGGTGCCTTCCACTCCCTGCCATTCCAGGATGGACAGTCACAGGGGTCAGCCTTGCTCCCAGCCTCCAGCCCTGGTGCTCAGCTCCTGATCCCAACCATCCCCATCCCTGGCTCTGCCACCTGCATCCTTGGCGGTAGTGCTGGGGCCCAGGTACTTTCGAACCTGAAATGGGGCACCACTCCATGGAGCCCCCACCTCCAGGGCTCCATCTGCCTGGTCACCCCAATGGGTGCAGCCCGGCCTGGGTGTGGGTGACATAAGACAAGCTTTGTCCCTCCCCACCATTCCAACAGCTACTGGGGAGGGGGCATAGCGGCTCTGCCAGAGGTTCCTGGAGACCTGAGACTCTCGGATAAGCCAGCCCTTGCCACCCTCTCCCAGCAACCCCCACCCCGACCTCGAGCTGCTCCTCTCACTTCCCCACCCTGCTCCTGCTCTAGGGCCCGGGGACAAGAGGACGAAGTGCTGGGGTCTTCTCACCTGAGCCGCAGAAAGAGGACAAAGGCCACCAGGAGGGCCACCAGGGAGATACAGTGGCCCAGGTAGTTGATGATGACTGCGACATGGTAGTGCACCTTGCTTTTTTTCTGGAGCAGGAGAGAGGGGCAGAGGTGAGCCTTCTGCACAGCCATGCCCTTGCGCCTGCTGGATGGGAGCCGCTCTATGACGACATCGCCTGGGGGTGGCTGGGACGGAGCAGGTCATGATCTCAAGGGCCACTCACCCTTCCTGAGTACCTGCTGTGGGTCAGGCCTCGCTGCAGAGCAATGCTGTCCAGTTTGAGGCTCTGTCTGTCCCTGAATCCCATGCTCTGTTCACTGCTCTGTGTCGTGTCTGAGTCTCCACATCACGTGGGATTCCCCACTCCACACAGACGCCCCCTCTGCACGCACAAGCGTGTGTGGCCGGCTCGCAGGTGCGCCCTCACAGTCGCATCTGCCCATGCTGCCACCCGGTCGGAACACCAGGTGGACCTCTCAGCTGCAGAGACACCAACCTCCTGGGATTTGTCTTCTCCACCCATTTCTGAACTGAGTCACCACCTTCTCGGCCGCCCTTGAATCCCTCCTGCTGCAACGCCGCCTGCTCCTGTGAGCGAGGAGGGGCCGGGCAGCTGCTGGGCTCTGGCATCCACAGAATCAGCCGAAACCACAGAAAAGTCTCCTTAGGCTCCATAACTCACTTTCCAGGGCCTTCCCCATCCCTGGCCCAAGGGGATCTGTGCAAAGTGAGCAGGATCCTCTCCCAGGACTGGAACACATTCCCCGGGTTTATTTCCTAATGAATTTAATATACTGATGGAGGTCACTGCCCTCCTCTTTACAGCAATCTTAAGTTCCAAGAGTGATGAAGCCTTCCCATTTACAGAGGATTTTCATATCTGTTATCGTCTTAAACCATCAGGGCAACCCCATAGTGGGAGCCGGGAGGGCTTCTGGGCTTTAGTTTGTAGGAAAACAGCACAGAGGTTATGTTGACGCACTGGAGGTCGCGCAACTTCAAAACCACCTCTTGCCTGCATGTGCAGATTGGCAAGGTACAAAGGCTGCAAACAGGTCCCCAGCCTATAATAGGGGACTGGCCAGTCCCCATGCCCAGCTCTCTGCAGACTCCTGCCCCAGAGCAAAGCCCTCATCCACACTTTTATAGGTCCCAAGAAGCAGGGCCTAGAAACCAAGAGCTTGACATGCATTCGAACTCCGAAGCAGTGTGTGAGTGAAGGAAGGAAAGACAGGTGTTGAAAAGCAGGTGGCTTTGGGAAAGGAGGGGTCCCTGGCAGCACCTCCCTCCCTCCCCGTTTCCAGGCTCTGGGGTGGGGCTGAATGATCATGAGGCACAGAAGCGGGTGACATGCAAGTGCTGAGAAGTGGTGAGCTCACAACGGCCCTCATCATCCTCTCAGAGCCACCAAGGAGCTACTCCACAGGCCTTCCTGTTGGAATTACAGAACCCACATGAAATCAGAGGTCAAGTCCAGTCCTATCCACCAGGCATCCCAGGAGTAGCCAAGACCCTATGCCCAGTTCCGCCCGGCCACCAAGGCCCTTCTGAAGGGGCATCCTCATCGGGAACCTCTTAGGTCCAGAGGCTCCTACAGAAGCTCTGTTCTCAGAGCTGGTTTCCCGGCAGAGGCTTTCTGGAACATGGCAGGAAATTACATTAACAACTCCAGCCTCCAAAGGACTGGGATCCAGGGAGGTGTAAACAAAGGCAGGAGAGAGACAGAGGGGAGTGAGGAGAGGGGACCCATCACCCATGCAAGTGGGGGGGTCTCTAAGCGCCTGGCGGCAGATGCCCCAATCCGGAGGCTCCGGAAGATATGCACGCATCACAGGCTGTCTGGAGCTGGTATTTAATATCCTTTTATTAAATTTTCCACAAATCCATGCTGAGAAGCCCCTGGGTAATGACAGCATGTGTGGAGCCGAGCATGGCATGACACCCTGGCCTTGTTCACAGGCCCAGGCTGGGCGGGAGGGGACAGTGTGCAGGCAGACCATTCACTGCCACCTGCCAGGCCCCACCTCGCTCCTGAGTCAGGCCGTACCAGGCCCTTGGGGTTGGAGTGGGGAGGAGTCATCTATTAAGCACCTGCTGTATGCTGAGCATTGTGCCAGGAGCTCTGCAGATGCCACTGCTTTTCTTTCCCACAGCTGCCCTTGGAGACTGCTCCTCTCATCCCAGTTCTTCCCGTAGAAGAGACTGAATAATTGGCCACGCCATGCAGCCGGCACCTGGAACCTGGGCCTGCCTGGCTTTGAAATCCCTCTTTTCCTGGTTTCCCAGGGACATTTCTTTTTTTGGGTGGGGGAGGGATGGAGTCTCACTCTGTCGCCCAGTCTGGAGTTGTGCAGTGGCAGGATCTTGGCTCACTGCAGCCTCTGCTTCCTGGGTTCAAGTGATTCTCCTGCCTCAGCCTCCTGAGTAGCTGGGATCACAGGCATGCGCCACCACGCCCAGCTAATATTTTGTATTTTTTGGTAGAGATGGGGTTTCGCCATGTTGCCCAGGCTGGTCTTGAACTCCTGAGCTCAGGCAATCCAACTGCCTTGGCCTCCCAAAGTGCTGGGATTACAGGCGAGAGCCACCGCCCCCAGCCCCCTGGGAGATTTCTGGGGGGGCAAGCAGGAATTGAAAGCAGAGGCACTTTCTGGGGTGGTCTTGCTCCATTTTGGGCCCAGGAGCCTCGGGGGACCTCCTGCTGGGAGGATAGCACCCATGAGGGCTTTTGCCCAAGAGCCTGAGAGGGAGAATCAGGCGAAACCATTCCCAGAGGACAGAGTCTCAGTGTGGCTCCCTGAGCAGTCGGGCCTGGGCCAGGTTCAAGCCCTCTCTCTTATTGGTCACATCAGCATGATGCAACCTGAGAAACAGCTTGAGAAGACAACTGGAGAGACAGCCTGAGGGATGGCTGCCGATACCCTGAGACAAATACATCCTGCATCACCCAGACAGAAGCCAGTGACACTGTGACATTTCCAATAACAACCAGAGTTCTGGACAGCATTATTTAGAGAGACAGCAAAGCCTTAAAAGGCACCTAGAAACACCCTGAGAGGTGGCCAGTGACACCTGGAGAGGAGAGTCAGCAGCACCCCCAGGCACAGCCAGTCACACACTGACCGACGGCCACGATAACAGCAAAGCAGCTGGGATGTCCAAAGGACAAATGGGCACAACTACCCCTGGGGCCCTGACCAGTGCTCCCTCTCCGTCCAGTCTGGAGACCTGAGACCAGCAGGCACCCCGCCCTAAGGAGGGTGGCACAGCATGGTACTTGGCAGAGGCCACTCTGCTGTACCCTCAGTGACCTGAATTGAATAAGCAATTAGTGCGCGGCTGACTCTGACACCACCTCGTCCCAGGCGCTGCAGTGCCAGACCCGTCCCGATGCCTCTCTGGGATGGTGGCAATGAGACCTCCCTTCCAAGCTCCCGCCGGTGCCCACTCCATTCTGGCACCTCCTCTCCACTGAAGTTGCCAGAGCTACTCCTCTTACCCCACAGTGGGCACTCACTCCAGTCCCTCCGTCCTCAAAGGGCAGCCCCTGGCCCAGCAGCAGCACACAGAGGAGCTCGCAGAGATCTTGAGGAAAGTGGAATGTGTGCCCTACGCTAGGCCCACGGAATCGGAGCTTCGTTTTAGGAAAAAGCACCTTTACAGTTCAGAAGCCCTGGTCCAACCACTGCCCACCTCTCCCCAGACGGTGAGCAATGAACCTTGGCCCACAAACCCAGACCCCAGGTTCCTTTTCATGTCCCACCAGTGTGCCCTCCCAGACTGCGCCTGAGGCCCAAGCTCCTGTGCTCAGCAGAGTGTGGGGAAAGGGAATAGAGTGCGTGCAAGTGTCGGGTGGGTGGGGGAAGGTCGGACAGTGGGGAAGGGAGTGAACAGTAGCGGCGGGAGGTGGTTGGGGGAGGAGAGGGTGCTGATACGGGGAGCAGGTGTAGGGGTTGTAATGGGGGCTCAGTGCCATCCCCGGGCCAGCCATGCATGCAACAGGCTCCCCAGTTGCGGGCCTGTTCCCTGGTGGTGCTGGCTGCGGGCAGATCTCCTGGGGTGCCTGGCCTTGGGGTGCCCTCGCAAGTCCCATTTCACAGGCGGACTTCTGCGAATCCATTATCTGCAATACCCCAGGGCGCTGGAGCTTAATTAGGGCTTAGCCCAGGCCCAGAGCTGAGAAACCTACCACTCAATTAATTGGCTACTTTCCTCTGCAGTTCTGGGAGAGGTCTGGCGAGGCTGGGGGCTGGCAGAAGGGAATGGCATTTTCACTAATTAAATTAATCGATTACCCAGAGTGCTAGGCACCAGGCCAGCAGGGGCTGCAGAGGAAAGAGGCGGCAGAGCCAGGCATGGATGGGCTGGGGGGTGGGGCAGGTCACTCCCCCAGGTGTCCATTACAACCTCCCCTGACCTCACAGGGGAGATGAGAGACAGGGGGTGGCAGGTGAATGGAACATCTCCCATAGGCCAAGACAGGCCAATACCACCCTTCCATCCCCAGAAGGCAGGGATCTGAATTCCTGGCCACCAGTTTTGGGAACTTGGTGGGGTTAAGTTGCCTCCTCTAGGTCATGCAGCAGGTTCCCGTTGAAACCCAAACCCTAAGGTCTGTGCTATTCCCACTGCAATGCAAAGAGCGGGCTGATGAGACCGGGCTCCTGATCCTCTTCCTTGTCCTAACCCTGCTGGTGGAGAGAGGGAGAGACCCCTGTCCTGGCAGGGGTGGGCGTTGCAGGGTGGGCCGAGGGTGGCTAACCTACTGCCCTTGAGCCTTTGAAGGGTGCTAGGGAAAACGGGGGCTGCCAAGTGTCCCCATCAGCCAACTGAAAGGAAGGGGCTTACATTAGAGCAGGAGAGACAGGTGAACCACGAAGACCCCGCCCTGACCCTCAGGAGGGTTGAGTGCAGGGCGTGAGGCTGGGACAGACAGTGCGGCCTACAGCCTGACCTTGTGGCTTAGCTGTACCTCCTCAACACTATCCCTCCCTGGCATGGCGTGTGGTCCTGAGTCGCTGACAGCACTGACCCGCTCTTTTGAGCACCGGCCCCGTTTCCTTTTCTCCCACCTCCTCTACTGTGTGCTGGGCTACGGATTCCCCACATCCCTGGACGGTCTTGCCCACTCCCACTCCCCCAGCCAAGGCCATCTCCTCTGGCCCAACTAAGTCTCCTAACCTGGAACCCCACCTCCTTCCCTCAGTCCAGGAAGAGCCCTCCTCCCAATCCCAGGACTTCCCAGGTGGGCTCTCCGTGTGGGTGCTTAGTAAGCTGGGGGTGAAGGAAAGTGATTCTTTATCCTTAACTTTGTTTCACACAGATACCTGGCAGTGGGCAAAGCAGAGCCTGAGCTCTGAAGCCCTGGGTTCCAGGCTCTGACTTACTCTGGCCATGTGATCTTGTGTGAATCAGTCCCCAATTCTGGGTCCCAGTCTGCCCATCTGTAATGTGAACGGGTTGCACTAGATTAGAGTTTCTCACTTTTGCCCCATCAGAAGGCTCCCCTGGGGCACTCATGAAAGACAGATTCCCAGGTCCTCCTTGGACAGTGTGATTTCTTAGGTGTTGGTTGTGGCCCTGGGACCTGTATTTGGACAGGTGCTCTGGGTGATTATTGCTCTGTCGCCAGGCTGGAGTGCTGTGGTACAATCTCGGCTCACTGTAACCTCCGCCTCCCTGGTTCAAGTGATTCTCCTGCCTCAGCCTCCTAAGTAGCTGCGATTACAGGGATGCGCCACCATGCTCAGCTAATTTTTGTATTTTTAGCAGAGATGAGGTTTCACCATGTTGGCCAGGATGGTCTCGATCTCCTGACCTTGTGATCTGCCTGCCTCAGCCTCCCAGAGGGCTGGGATTACAGGCATGAGCCACCGTAGCTGGCCACGTTTTTTTGTTTTGTTTTGTTTTTTAATGGAGTTTCCCTCTTTTTGCCCAGGCTGGAGTGCAATGGCATGATCTTGGCTCACTGCAACCTCTGCTTCCTGGGTTCAAGCAATTCTCCTGCCTCAGCCTCCTTAGTACCTAGGATTACAGGTGTGCACCACCACACCTGGCTAATTTTGTATTTTTAGTAGAGATGGGGTTTCACTGTGTTGGACAAGCTGGTCTCAAACTCCTGACCCCAGGTGATCTGCCTCTGGACGATTCTTATAACCAGGCGGGTCTGGGAACCTCAAGATGGGAGGGAGAGTCTCCAAGGTCTCTTCCAGCTCCGATCTTTAGGCAATGGGATTCTTGGGACTGCCTAGGTCAGTCCGTCTCTTCCACAATCAGAAGCCCTGGCCCTCGGACAGCCTGGAGTGTCCCCCCTTCTGCTCTTTGACCCCCGCCTTCCTCAGCACTGAGGGAGAAAGTGTCAGTGGCAAAGGAGACCGAGGGCAACAGCAATTCCAGGATAGATATATTTGTGCCTCTGCCAAAAATCACCCTTCAAAGATTATTCATTGCAGCACCATTTGTAATAACTGAAGACTGAGAATAAAGACTGGTTTAAATAAATTATGGTTCATTTTGTGATATTATACAAATGCAAAGAGAATGAAGATGCTCTTTATGTACTGATATGGAACCATCTCTAAGATAGATGATTATATGAAAAAAGCAAGGTGTAGACAATGTGCATAATATGCAACATTCAGGTAAAAACAAAAAAGAATACGTATATATAATTACTCATGTATGCAGAGAATGTCTCTGGAAAGACACTTATGAAATTGGCAAAATGGTTGCCTCTGGGAGGAATCCAGTGGCCGGGGACGGGGTGGGAGGGGACATTGTATTCCCATTTGTACCTGCTGAGTTCTGTGTAAGCAACATCTGCTCAAAAACATTTAACATTTTAAAAGGCTTTCCAAGGGCTTTTTCAAACTGCACTGCTACCTCCACCCCATCCCTGGTTCCCATACAGCCCCGTGGCTGGAACTGGATGTATCTGTCAGGCGTGTGTGGTGGAAAAGGGTGGGACTCCTGTGACCAAGTCTGGTCTCCCTTTGCACCCCCAGGACAGTCCCATGCCCAGTGCAAGCGGCTGCCTGATGAGCACAGGGGGAAGGAAGGAAGGAATAAGGACCCGTCTCATCACCATCAGAGCTTGCCCAGTGCCCCATTGGTCCAGCCCGCCCTCGAGGGTGCCTGCTCATGGGCCATTTCCAGCTCCCCAGTCAGCTTCGCTAGGGCAGGGCCTTGACATTAGCCTCTGGCTCCCTGACTCCAAGAAGCAGGCACAAAACTCTGCTGGGGACCCTGGACCCCCCTTCATACGGGCAGCCTCATTCGGCTCAGCCTCACCTCCTCATTGAGGATCTCCTGGCACTCGGAGTAATTCACGCGGGCGGCCCAGCTGCCATTGGCCAGGCACTCCCGGTAGCCATTGTCTGGAA